AATTTATTTATCATACAATTTCAATCTTTTATTTCTATTAAGAAAATTAATTTAAAGTAATTGGCTCAATCACTTTAATTATGTAAACAAAAAGTATTCCCCAGCAGCGGACCTTTGGATTAAACAGGACCCAAAAATAGAGAGGAAAAGGGAGCAATGTGTATTGATGAGTATTGTGGTGAAGGAGAAGCAAAGGGTAAAATAAAAATCCTTAAACTATAATCGTCATGATGAGCCTTTCAATGAGTTTGGTGGTTCTTTGAAATTAGCCACTCAAAGTTTTGAAGATAACCTTCCTTACTTAAATTTCAAAACAAGGTATCTTTTTTCCACCATTCTGTGTGGAAATATTGCCTACATTCCAAGTTACGTTGCTACTTCTTCAACTAGTAATATATTCCAAAGATTGGAAGATTTCTAAACCACTTTTGCTTTTCTTTTTCTTTTTCACTGTCAAAGTAATATCTCGAATCTGTTTGCAATTATACGACTAAAATTTTAATCAATCTTTATAAATTGGTTAATCCATCTACATAAACTTTTCAAATTTAAAAAAATTTATTGAATCATGGTTAACAAAGATAAGATCAGCTTGCCTTTCTTTTTTCTTTTTTTTTTCTTATATTGTGTAACGAGAAATAATTTTTCTTTATTTTTTAAACCGTTATATCTATATGTCATGAAATTTAAAGAATAATATCACTGAATTTCTTATTTAATTTAACCAAACCTATCAGGTTTGCTGTAAGGGAAAGGCACATAGCCACTCAGTCTTAGTGCCTCGCTAACTCCAAGTAAAAGAAAGCCCTAAAAAATTGAAAAGAAAGGAGAAGCAGGCTATCTCCAGGCTGCCCCTGCCATATTAGAAATTGCTTAATTTGGACGTCTGCCTTGTATTATTTACAGCTGCAATACGCTAATCAATTAATGAATTCTACTACGAGTAATATCCAGGCTGATTTTTGGTTCCATGATTTCTAAATAAATAAAAAATAAGGATTTTTGGAAAGTGCAAATCAATTCTAATGATTTAATCAAAGCTGGAACCCAATCACTGCAGATCCAGAACCAAGAATTCCAGTAAACCACATGATTTAATAAATTCCCCTTTCATCTATTTTCCTTTTTCTGTTTTTTTCTATCAAAGATATTTTCCTATTCAATCACTTGACTTTTAAAAATACATCTATAATAATAAAAAAAATCATATATCAAATGTTTACTCTTAAAGAGTGATCTAATTGATTAAAAATCTGATATTTCAAATTAAAAATTTTATATTTGAACTTCAAGTTGTATGGAAAGAAAATTTAAAATAAGAAAGTTATTTTTTTTTTTATATATAACTTATCATCATTCATTACATATGAAATGTTTACCCCCAAAGAGTCATCTAATTGATTAAAAATTTTGATATTTCAAATTAAAAATTTTATATTTGAACCTCAAGTTGTGTGAGAATGGATTTTAAAAATGAGAGGTTACTTTTTTTTATATAACTCATCATTAGATGGAAAAAAAATACAAAGATTATATTGAAAACTATATTTTAAAAAAAATAAAATAAGCAAAATAAATTTACAAAAAAAGTAAGGAAAATAATATTTTATTTAGAAATATATTATTTTGTATTAAAAATAAACATTTACTTTAGGAGAGAATTAATGAAGGATTATTAAAAAAATATCTTTAACCTATGTATCCTAAAATGCAATTATTGTAATTTTTTATATTAATTGATATTAAAAAAATATAAAATTTAATATTAATTGTTGCCTGACTAATGTCATATAAATTATTTTAATTGAAGTTTTTTTACACATCTGTTATTTGATAAATACTTTTTTTTTATTTTTTATAAATGAACAAGGTTAAAGTATTCATTTAGCTCACTACCTTAATAAATTTGAAGTTTTTAACCCATGAATTTGAAAGTTTGAAGATTTTAACTCTTAAACTAAAGGAATCTATTAACTCTTCGTTAAAGTGAGAACAAAATATTTATAGGATTAGTTTTCAAAAAATAAAAATATAACAATTTAGTTTTAAAAGTTTAAAAATTTTAAAAAATTTTAATAAACAAAAAATAATTATTAGATATCTTTGCCACATACATAAGAATAGTATTAGATATCTATAATTAAATCGAGTGATTAGCTTAATCAAAAAAAAAAATTGACTGCAATTAAAGAAAATTTCTTAGTTATATTTTTTTAGTATTTAAAATTTTTTGTCCTAATTAAGTTAAAAAATTTTCTTTAAACTTAGTTTAAAAAGTTTCTTTATACTCAGTCAGAATTTTTTTTTCAAATTAACCTAATCACTCAATTTATTATGGATATCTAATATTGTTCTAGTGTATGCGAGAAAGTCATTTATTAATTCTTTTTAGTTTACAAATTTTTTGAACTTTAAAATTTTTAGAACCAGATTGTTACATTTTCAATCTTTAATGATTGATTTTGTAAATATTTTATTGTCAATTTAACAAAAAGTTAACTAATTTTGTTAGTATAAGGGGTAAAATCTTTAAACCTTTAAGTTTAACGGTTAAAAATTTCATAATATAAAGT